TCCAGAAGTTATTACTAGAATGCTGACTCATAGGCAAAAGTCAGATCCCAGACCGGACTCGATACCGCACCTGACTGTTGCTGACTCATATGCAAAAGTCAGATCCCAGGCAGGACTCGATACCGCGCCTGACCCTGGCGCTGAACGTGTGAACGCTATTAGGCTGTGGCATAGAAATGGCCCCGGTGGCGTAAGGGGATAACTCTTTTGGCCATAGCCAAGCGTTCTTGTGATAATTACAAACTCAGATAGCGTTAATTATTGAAATTTAAGTGGGTGGGTAATCTACTGTTAATAGTTTTATTACATACAAAAATGATTTTTCAATTTAGAGGAAGATTCGCGCTTTCAGCTGTTTAACCTTCTTTATTTCAGGAATAATTCAAACTATGATCATCATGACAGCCGTCTGCTGCCATCTCTTCTGGATCATGGTGCGATATCCTTTCACTTTTACGTCTGTAAAGGAGTCTAAAATTCCTTCAATTAGTTAATTTTCTGTGATTTCAGATCTATTTGCATCAGTTGAATCCTTTGATCGGCCCTCAGATCAATGTCAAGACAATCCGCTGGATTTCATTGAAGTGGGGAGACTCACCGACTCCAGTTCCTCTTGGACAGTAAATGCGGGTGCGAATGTTCCCTTACCTTCTCAGCTACTTCACTGCGGATGACATTATATGCGGTTAGAGAAGTTTTGTGTTCTATGTAGTTCCCATCCAGAACATCCGCCAATTTCGAATTCCAATCTTGCAAACTGTGATGTCCTAGTAGCGTTTAGTAGCGCTTGTGTAAAGTTAGCCACATAACTATATAACATGAGTTTTATTCAGTGTACAGGAACGCCTTTACTTTAACTGTTCTACATAAATCATTTTCTCATCGCGATTGTTAGCTGAACAGCTTTTTATTGCCTAGAAACCGAGGTTTCCGATGAGTATAAACCATATTTGGAATTTCATGTGAATAAATTCTGTCGATTTCTGAACCATTGAATGAGGTTTTGATGTAGCTTTACTAGTGAGACATTAGGTGGCGTTACTATAGTTGAGGCGGGAGGAGGGAGGCAACACAAACAGGCTCTGAGCCTCGAGAAGAGGCTCCAACTGTGATCGTTTGAGCTGCGCAATTGTATTCAGTGAAACTGAGGGTACTCCGAACTGCACGTGAAAGTGAATGCTTCTTGGGCTCACCTTGGTCTTCCTCGCTCAGCTTACGCTACGCCCATTTGTATGCATTTCCAGGAACCAAAGTTTGATTCCACGCGCAATTTTCCTGAATACTTATCCCAGTTGTTTTCCTCAACCTGTAATGCCTGGCTGATCTTAGTTTGAGCGTGCGGAGGAGGAAGTGCCGCTCACCAAGAAAGCTCCGCACATGGAACCTTTTCTAATCGAGTTTCTGCATCTGCTATTACGTCCTCATCATTGCGGACCGGTGGGGCGTGTCAGCCAGTATGAGTGTGCACACTGTTGAAGCCGTTCTCAGCCTTTTTGCTGAAACGCGTATGCGACAAAAAGTGGTAGAAACAGAATACGAAGGATATAATACAGTAATGTCACTTGCCCGCTTCAACAACTGGTGCAGAACGACTTTGGCACCGCGCCAAACGCAGCCGCACTGACACGCCCCACCGGTCCGCAATGATGAGGACTGTACAACGGTCAGAACCGACCATGACATTGACTTTGCGGGTTTTTTTAAATTGGCAAATAGCGAAACGCCTACTTAGATCGACTCTTCTGGTATGATCCATCTTCTCATCTAACATCTTCGTAACTTTTCTCAAAGTATGGCATCAAGCGTTGACGAAGCAACTCCGATACACTAAAAAGGGATGGGGAGGGGTGGAATAAAGGGAATCCATCATACCATCAGGAACCACCCTGATTCTTGATTTTTCCCATCGCTGAACGACCCGTACACGACCCTTTTGTGATCGGTTGACGAGCCCTGAGTGGGGGTTTATGAATGGGACGAAAAAATGATTATTTTACTTTCTGAGCGGTTCTGTTTCACGCGTGAGCCTCTAGTGTAGCATGCAGTTTCGAAAGGGAGACCGGCTATACTGCCGTGAGCCAAGGAGGTGCCACCGCTCACGTCGCGTGCGACAGTGTCAGAGTTGGACTACAGGTTCGCGCCCAGCACTGAACAATACTGTGCCCCTTAGCAGACTCTGCATAGCGCGTTTTCCAAGGGCACCATTGTAGCGCTTAAGGTGCAAAATGCCGACCCAGACGCCCACCGAAACCACCCGCCCACAGTTGGCCGCACAGTCATATCGACGTTGGCAGGATACATACGTGCGGTCGTATTT